TGTACAGGCTATTTCATATTATTGCACTTACTCTTTAATATATAAGGCATTTTATTTTACATAAATAAAGGATAATGTATAATATCATACAACAGGTGTGGTGCCAACTGAATCAACCGTCAAATTCAATGAGATGTGAGTGAGAGGATGGAAATGAAACCAGCCTACTTCAATCTTCATGGTATATTCTTGCAACTATGATTTACATGTTATAACACATTTACCCTCACAGCTTATTGTGAATGAGTGACCAGTTTAAAAAAAAAAAAAGTTTTAGTAGGACGATACCATTAGTGTTCACTTCAGGAAGTGTGGGAATTTATTAGACTAATTAGAAATACCAGTCATGCCTTGAACACTGAAGACAAATAAATAGCATTCTATCTCAGGGTCAAAGATAGTTTAGCTTTTGCGTCTTCCCCTTGAATTCCAACTGTTGGCCAGGGAACCCTTCTGGCAAGAGCTAGTAGAAAAGGCTGATGACTTTAACAAGTGTAGTAAGCCAGAGGTCTACCCTTGTACTCTCTTGATAAGAGGATCAAGGAGACCATTTATTCCATTGCTCCACATTGATCTAGAAATTCCTGTCTGCTCACACAGAACTAGGCATTTCTTATTAGTAGGCATAGCTGTAAGAGTGGAGGCAAAAAATGGTTTTCAGTGTTGACTTCGAATAGGCTCTTGTCATTTAGGCAAGAAAGCATAAACCATGAAACTGACCGTAGAGACTTAAAAAAACAAGCTAGCATGCACCTTGCACTGACTTCCTATAGTATCCTACCTGTAATTGTAGTGAAAAGTAGAAGCTAAATCAGACCTTTCTAGCTAACTGTAGTACTACATTCTCCTTTGTATAACCTGTTGAAAAATGAGAAATCTGGGCTCAGACAAGCCAGATATTTCAGTCCCATCTGAGGGACCTCTCTAGGGTGACTCCACAGATGCTTAGGGGGATTGGTCACTCAGAAAATGATGTACAGAGGTGACGGTTCAAGCACCTGCATGATCTGGGGGGTCACGGCCATAGACCCGAGCTGTGGATTATTTAAAGAAATATCTCCAACATAAAAATCTTAGTGTAATCATGTGTGCAGGTATGACAAATGCAATCTCCACCCGTATTCCCAGGACTCAGCGAGATGGTCTGTGCTACCTGAAAATTTCGGTTGTAACTACATAGTTCTGCTCCTTTACCTCGACAGTCACTCACCCTGTTTTCTTCCTCCTCCTCCTGACATTTTGATAAAGCTGGTGAGGGTTGGGATTTATCTAAGAAAATAAGATACAGTACGAGGGGAGAAAAGCCAACTTTGGCTACTACGAAGATCGTGCTTGGAAAGGAGGAGCAGCCAGGGCAAGTTTCAGTAGCAGCGTGAGTCACAACAGTCTTCTGCAGGAAAACATTTTTGGCAAAAGCAAGAATTTGCAAAACAAGAACAGCAAAAACTCCAGTCATTGCAGAGTTATGTCATTACACCAGGTCAAGAAAAGAGATCCAGTGCTCAGAAATGTTATATTTCTTAAACATGTTGGGAAAGAGGAGAAAAGCCAAACAAAAAAAGTCCCCTAAAAGGATTATTTCAAGCTCCTCTATTTGGAATGTAAATATAATGCCTATGTTTATAAATACAAGGACAATTAAAAAGATACTTAATTTCTAAAAATTTAATGGTCGGGGTGCATAATACATAGAATGGAAACCCAATGACTGCTATTTTTGCCTGTTCTTGTGTTGATTAGTCTTGAATTCAAGCATTTTTGAAAACTAGATGTAAAGGTGCTTTCAGATCCGGAACTTTCTGCTCCTTATAAGCAGCAAAGCTCACGGCTATTTAGTACAGTTTATCAGAAGTGCTATTCCGTGAAACAGCCTTATGACTTATACTTTTATAGATAGGAAATGATCAACGCATCATGGTGATCGATAACCCATTGAGTTGAACTCTGCATACATTATACATTACACTCAAAAAAATATTACTTTCTGTATTTTGCTTTTTCATTTTCAGATAATTCCTGAGCTTAGCCTAACAATTAGGTTATAATTCATTTTAAATCTCATTCTGTTTTCAGGGTAACATATATAGACCAACAGCTCCTCCTTCCATTGAATGTGCCTAAAAGCACTGCCATTTACTTATAAAATTATATAAAACTATAGTCCTTTTAGCTATAACATTAGTGTTACCCTCAGACTTTGTTAGTTTCCTAATCACCAGGATTAGGTATAGTTGGGAGAGTTGGCAAGGGGGATGCAAAGGTCTAGCTAAAGGTTTCAAATGAAGAAGGGCATGTCACATCTTGTATCCCCATCAGCAAACATAAAAGGTAGGGGACAGGCACTGGAACGAAAGGAACTCCTCCTGGCCCGAGTGATCCAGGCAGAAGGCTTCCAGAGTTCAACTTCATTGCTGTTGCACACACAATAGGTCAGGCTACATGTATAAGTATAAACTTGGAGATTTTTATAGTCCTTGTCTATACCAATGTTTGTTTCAAGAACTCATTGTTTAAAGAACTCATTTTGATTTGCTGAAGACGGGAACTGATAAAAGGAGATTCCTGTTAAAATTTACGAAGAATTCCTATGCTTTCTAATTACTAACTGCACAGGTCCCTCTGGAACAGACTTCATAATATTCCAGGCATCGAAGTGCATGAGCCCAACCAAGGGTTTCCCATTAATAGCAAGAATTTCATCTCCAGCTTCTATTATTCCAGCTTGTTCAGCTGCACCACCTATGAGAATAAATACAGAATAATGGCTTGGCATTTTATAGCATTCAAAAAAATTACAAGTAAACTAAAAGCTTGAGAAAAGTCTCTAAATGATATATATGCCTATATTGTTAGGATAGGAAAATATTTCTTAAACAAGACATAAGCATATATCCATAAAAATAAATTCAGCTCTAACCCCCCCAAAACACAAGATAAAAATAAGCAACTGACAAGGGGAAGATATTTTCACTATATTTGATCAACAGAGGGTTACCATCCGGACTAAAGAACTACAAATTAACAATACAAAATAAAAAGTTGGGCAAAAGAAATCAACAGCTAAAATCCAAATAGCCAGTAAATGCAGGAAAACAGGTTCAACTTTCGTTAACAGATATTGGCTGATAAATGTGAGTTCTGAGAATATGCTCATCAGTGACCGTGGCTGCTACTTATAAAGCTTAACATGGTTTTACATTATTAGCTTT